CTGTAGTGCGTGCCACAGGGTACTAATTCAGGTACTCAAAAAATTATGAACATGCAATTAGTGACCACCTCTGAAAAGTTTGGTTTAAGTAACTTGCCCAGCACTACACAGGAACTCTGACGTGCTGCTGTCCCAAATCTGTCTCTTCCCCATTCCTTGTTCCCACGCACATTCTTTAGTACTCAGGCTTCTCATCGCAGTCTTGGTCTCCCCCTCTGGGCTTTCTATGGTCCCAATCCCTTTTCTCACTCCCAGCCTCACCTACTCCCCACATTCAGTTCTGACCTCTTTACCCAGCCAGTCCAATTTCTCCCCCTCCCATCTGTCTCTCCTTTCTCTTGCCACTAACTCCCAGTCCCAGTCTCCACTCCTCAGGCTTCTGATTCCAGTCCCAGTGTTCTTGGCCAGCAAGTCCTACTCTCACCCCTCTGGAATCCTCATCTAACCAGTCTTTCCCCCAGTCCCAATCTCCTTGTCCTATCTCAGTGTGCCCCTTCCCAGCTAACTTGTCCCAGTCTCTTTGCCCAGCCAGTTCTACTTCTCCCCCAACATCCCAGCCCCCACCATTAGGTCTGTCTTCCCTCTCTCCCCCAACCCTCGTGGTTATCAGTTCCAATCTGCTTGTCTAGCCATTATCAGTCTCCCCCAACTCTCTGTCCCAGTCTCCTGGCCCAGCCAGTCCAAGTCTCCCTCCCCTCTGTTAGCCTCCGACTCTTATCCCCTCTGCAATCTAATCTGGCAGTTTCCTCCTCCATACTACCTGGTCCATTAAGAGTGCAGGAGAAAGAGGCACTCTGCTCTCAGCTCAGGTGCCGAGACCTGACGTAGCGCACACAGCAGTCCAGAGCTTCAATTGCAGGAAAAACCCTTCTCAGCCTCACACTAGAGCATGCCCAGTGCAGATGGAGCCTTCAGGGAATTTAGCTGTTAAGGACTTGTTTCAAAGGCTTATCACTTGGCCAAATTTTAGTAGATTTTTCATGGGGACAACAAGAGACACAATACTGACACAAAGGCCACCCCTGCCAAATTTAAAATCCCTGCTGCAAAGCATGGAGGTGTTTGAGTTTTTCAAAGAAATGGTTGCCAGAATTTTTTACCTGGGCAAAATGAAGTATTTTTCCTTATCCTTGTTCTCTGAAACAGCTGAACTATATTTTGGTAATTATTCTCCCACTCCCCACAATATCCAGCCTGAGGCATTAAACTAGCACGGACAATTTCAGCCCAATGATTACAAGTTTGTCAAAGTTACAAGCAACTGAAAACATGGGAAGTGTTGGGCAACTTTAATAATAGACTGTGCTACCAGCCCTGCCTTGCACATGCGAAAGAGAGAGTTTATATGTAACCTGTCTGAATACATTGTCTGTGTCATTCAACTGTAAGACCCTTGTGGGAAGGGGACAGTGCCTTCCTCTATATTTCCACAGTGTAATCACATAGATGGTGCGCAATAAAAAATAATAGTAACAACAAAAACATTACTATCAGATTGTTCCTTACCTTCCAGTCATGAAACCACTGTCTACTTTTTCCTCCTAGACAATATTCTAGTAAGAATAGATAGGAAATCCATGCTTTCTTCTTCTTCTTCTTCTTTTTTTTCCTTAAACAAGGGGCAGATTTACATGTCCAACTCTCATTAACACTTGTGTTATATACATTGAGAAAGAAATGAATTCCTTTGTAATCCTGCAGGATCACACCATTTTTCACGCACACATTGTTACACACCGCACTGTAACAGTCGCTCTCTCCATAATCCTAATGCAACTCCCTTTAAAGACAATAGAAGGATGATCATTGACTTCGATGGGACTGATCCAACTCCAACGTGACTTGATGTACCAGCAAATCTAGTAAAATTACACCTTCATGTTCCATTCTTCTGGAGTGAATAATGGCTAGCACATCATCCCCTTTACCCAGGCTAGCTTTCACTCCTCCAAACCCTTTCCAAAGGAACAGGGCCACTTCAGTTGCTTCAGCAGATCTACAGATGGGCTAGTAATTACTAGGGAGAATATTGTCTGCAAACAAACATTTGGAAAGGATTGTGGTGCTGGAGTGTGTCAGACTTCAAAATTTCAGTTCAAATGAAAGGCCTTCCTGAGAGATGCAAGACTGCCCTATGGTTAAGACAAAAGATTGGGAGTCAGGAGTCAAGGCCACACGGCAAACTTTGTGTGTCTTTGGCCAAGTAACTTAGAACTAAACTATGATTCAAAGTATATGTAACTGCACAAAAGAAGCAAGAAGGATAACAACCTCCCATAGGCCCCTACTGATGCTATCCAGACCTCAGGCAAAATTCTGAGCTGTGCCTCTAAGAGGCGCAGTCTGGAACTTGCAGCCCTGAGGCAGGAGAGGCTAATGTGGTTTAATCCACCTTTGCACCCTCCTGCTCTGGGGGATGGAGAAGCCCCTTGCATAATTCAGACAGGCCTCCCAGGGCTGTCTGAGTTCCAGCAGTCTTCTCAGGCTGTCTGATGAGCATCAGTACTGCCCAGAATCTACACACCATACATGCTGCAGTCCAGCCCCGACACCCCCCCTCCCCCATTTCCCAGCCCCACTCCTGGGACAGCCTCTAAACTGGAACTTCCAAAGGAGTCCTTGGAAGGCAGATTTATGGCTCACTACTGCAGTATCTTCACCACAGGACTCCTCCCCACATTGGACCAGGGCTTTTTAGGCCCTTTTACGTGGCAAAAAGTGGCTAGAATAGGAGGGAGGATCCCACTCATTAGGTCCAGGTGCACAGGTGTAGGTGGAGCTGTCTGTCTGCTTACTCCTTTCCCAGAGTAGAAAGTGGTCGGGAAGGGACAAGGAATGGGGGGGGATGAAGTACAGTTTTGGTTCAATGCCTCTAATCTGCTGGCCATTGTAGTTGAGCCAACACAGAGAGCACGGTCATTAATTACTGGTACAGTTCAGCAGAAAATTAATATTCCCTGGGAGCAAATGTGATTCAGTTACATCTCTGAGGCCCAGTGACTACCAGTGCTACTCTTGGGGTTTACACACTATCCCTTGTTCAGGACAGTACCTAAAGGTAAACTCTAGCCCTTAATCTCTTTGTGCCTCATTTTCCTCAACTGTTTAACAAAGGTGTGGAAGGCTTAACTCATTCATGTTGATAAAGTACTTTGAGATCATTGGAGTGAAAGCACTATGTAAGTGCACAGCAGTATTATAGCAATCAAGTGTGCACAGAGAGAGCTCCTGTAGCCTGTACAGGGCATCGTCAGTGGGGATTTGCCAGAGACTTCACTAAGAACAGGATTAGGCCCATAATCCATGGAAGCTACATTTTAGCTAGTACTATCGCCATGTATCATTTTAATAGATCGTTCCACTAGGTGACATTTTCAGTACTAGTAAAATATCCCTGGTCTATAACAATGACTACAGTTGCATGACCTTCTGAATAGAGCTAAATTTTTACTACTTCCTTGCTTAGGTATATAGAGTGTTAGACAAATGCTGTTTTTCTTCTAGACTTCTCTCTCGAGCTATTTTCAGATAGCCAAATTTGTATGTGCTTTTATAACTGGATTATAACAGCATTTTATGCCAACGGGTTAAATTTTTTAAGCTCTCAGAAAAGCTGCTTAATAATGCTTAATAACATAAAAACAACTGCACGGCTAAATGAAAGAAATATCTATAAATGGGTGGCCCTTGAGTGTTTCCAGCTATTGAAGAGCATAAGTGAATTTTATTGGTAAGGAATTAGGAATTACTGAGGTGTACTCCAAGCAATACAAATCAAGTTACTGAGCAATATATTTGCTTGTGAATGGACTGAGAAAATATTCTCAGGTAATTTATAATACAACACATTTGTTAAAAATTCAGAAGTCAATCACAAAATACAAAAAAAAAATCACAAAAATACCTAAGAATAAGTAATCAAAATTAAAACATTACAACAACGCAGAAACAGTAAATTATTCCCAACATATATCATCCTAGTGTGCACAATCATACAAAAATTTTACTCATGTCTGTTGTTCTCAGACAGTCTGAAATTTGATATATTATCTTGCAGTCCAAGTAACTATGAAAATGTGCCATATAAATACAAACCCTCTCAGACATATCCATCGTAGGCCTGATCCTACATTTCTGGCTCTGCCAAAACTCCCACTGAGCAGAATGATAGGGTGATGGTGCTTAGCACCTTGCAGAATAGGGCCCTAATTTAACTGGACTGTGCTACTGGTCAGCCCAAAAAAAAAAAATCTCATTTTCAGTTGCACTCCTGAATAATTTCCCACAATAAGAATGGGAAAGTCCTATCAAAAATTAAGCCAAACATTTAATAACGTGTCAAGTATTTCCCCTGAACTTACTGCATTTCGTACGAGTTTGTCTTGACAAGAGTGAAGGTATAATTTGATAATACTGCAGGTATACTCCAGAACAGCAATCTCACACTTTGCAGTTGTTGCCGGAGAATTGTGTAGCTGCCAACTTTGATATAGCCTCAGCATCCTTATGTAATGACAACTTATTCCCTCAAGTGAAACACAACAAATCTGTTGTCCAGAATAAGTTTTCCTACATATCTAAAATTAGCTGGTCACATTTGGAAAACTCACTCATAACTGAACATTTACTTCTGCCTAATCTAGAAGCCCTCTTTTTTACTCTCTGTGGTATTTGTGAGCAAAAAACATTAATTTATAAGATTGCCGTCTCATTCTAAGCAATAAGCTTGCGAAAATAAAATGTTAGTAGTGACAGCTATATTACTATTTTAAAATATAGTAAAAACAAGCAACAGAAAATTAAAAACCATCAACACTGGACTAATTTTTTTAAACTTGCTTCATTCATTCTCATTACCGAGCATGAAATTGCTTTATAGTATGGATGAATGATCTTAGAATACCATATCTTGGTCTCAGAGGAGAAAATCCAATGCAAAGAGAAAAAATATATTTGTCAAACACTTGTGCCCTGTGTTAAAATGTATTTACATTACTTACCATAGCCCCAAAGTCTATTCCAATACATGGTGGGGGATACCGTAGAATGACCCCTCTGCAGGCGTCCAAATCGTTCTGGGTAGTTAAGATGCTTCTCATAAGAGGCTTCTGTAATGCATCCCAAACATTTTCCATCTAAATCCATTTTAGCGCAAAGTAAGAAAAACATTAAGTACAGGAACATGAAACACAATTTTGATTATAGTCAACTTTCTCTACCTGAATGAACAGTTGACATTATGTTCCCCCCAAAAGCATTTTAAATGTAGCAGCCTCACACATAAATCCATAAGAAACAAGAGCTATTATGCAAAATAGTGGATATGCTAACAATGGCTATACAAAATAAAACCACAAAATTCAGTCTTGTGACTTTCAGCTCAAGAGAGAAAATGATCATTTTAAACATATTCCACAATGGAAAATAATACTGTGATAGATCTTAGCGTTTATTTTAATTACTTACTACAAATTAGAAGTGATATCCTTGTCAAAATAGTATTTCTTGTCATAAAAATCATTTCAGAAAACACCTACGAGGAAAAGTAGGGCTTGTCTACACATAGAACGCTGCAGTGGTGCAGCTGCTAAGGTTCCCAGTTTTGGTTGGACGTATTCCTGGAGATTTAATCACATGACATAATTTTTAATTCACGATTAATCTCTAATCCTGGAGGATTGGCAACGCGAGCAGCTGCACTGATGCAGGTGAAGGCACTCTACACCAATGGGAGAGAGCTCTCCTGTCGACATAATAAAACCACCTCTGCAAGAGGCAGTAGGTATGTCGGTGGGAGAAGCTCTCCTGCGAACACAGTGCTGTCCACACCGGTGCTAATCTCGGTGTAATTTATATCGCTTGGGGGTGGTTTATTCACAACCTGTGCAACATAAATTATGCTGACATAAGCTGTAGTGTTGACATCTTTTTTGTCTTTTCTAACTGTAGCGAGGAAATACCAGTATTTAAACGGATGTTGAAAACAATAGGCATATTACTTTAATTGGACCTAATTATTAAATTTACTTGACTGTCCTAAGAGGGAAGTATTGGCCTTTTCTTCATTAATTTTGCCTTCTTGTTTTATTCAATCAGGCATTAAAACTTTAGACTTGATGTCAAGTATGATAACCATTCACTATAAAAAAGGCTGCCACTATAAGCAAGACTGATATTTTTATTTATACAGTCAAAAAAGCTAAACTAAACTACAAGGTTTATGTGCCTCTTAATGGAAATTATAGTTTGCCTTTTGCTGCTTCATAAGCATCTAAGGTCAAGAACCCCGGGAGGTTGCTTTTGGTTCCAAGCGGTATCTCTCTTGGCAGCAAATATGCAAAGCCAGACCAAGTACTTCCTTACACCTTTCAACCCAGGAGTGGAGTCACAGAGCTGGTTTACAACGAACAGTGACATCTGCATAGCTACGTCTCTCAGGGGTCTGAAATATCCACACCCCTGAGGGACATAGTTAAACTAACCTAACCCCCGGTGTTGGCAGCAGTAGGTTGACAGAATAATTTTTCCTTCAGCCTCGCTACCACCTCTTGAGGAGGTGAATTACATACAGCAACAGGAGAACCCCTCCCATCACTGTAGTAAGTCTCTACGCTTACAACACTACCTCAACACAGCTGCAGCTGTGCCACTGTAGTATTTTAACTGTACTGTATAGCCTAGAATCTACCTAGGCTAATACAGATTTATTTGAATTATATTGGTGATTGGTAGGTCTACCACAATGTAATAACTAATACAATTCTTCCTTGGCTGCTTTGATATGGAAGAAATTTTAAAAGGTCTTCAGGCTCTTCACAGCTGAAAATTTAGAAACAGAATTAGAGAGACAAGGTGGATGAGGCAAATTCTTTTATCAGACCAGCTACTGCTGGTAAGAGAGACAAGCTTTCGAGCTTATATGGAGCTCTTCTTTAGGTCTGGAAAACATACTGAGGGCATATCTACACTACAAAATTAAGTCGACATAACTTACATCAGCATACAGCTACAGCAGTAGTTACATTATTTGTGTGTGTCTATACTTTGTACGCCTGAGGGAATTGCATGCCACTGCGCAATGCAGAATTTGCACAGAATTAATGTACTGTGTGCAGAATTTCATTTTTCTCCACAGAATTGGTGCTGCAGAGCTGCTGGCCACCACTAGGGGCCGCTGGACCCAGCAGAGCCAGGACACTGTCCAGGAGAGGGGGAGGGGGAGCTGCAGCTGTGGTTCCAGGCACATCCTGAAGGAAGGAGGCAATGTGCAGGAAATGCAGTACAAGCCTTGGATCCAGCATCAGGCTGTTTCTTTCTCTGGATCCCTAGGTTCTGGATGGAGGGGGGCAGGAGATGTGGGTGTCTGGGCTGGGGCAGTGGGTGCCCTGCAGCTGGGCTCTTTGGGGGGATGGATGTGCCGGTGTCCGGAATGGGGGTGGATGTAAGTGTCTGGGCTCGGGGGGCAGGGGCACAATTGGGCCCTGGGGAGTATGGAGTGCAGGTGTTTGATAGCAGAGGGGCAGAGTTCTCTCCAAAACATACCCAGCTGACATGTGACACAACCAGACTGAGGCATCCAACAAAAGCATAACAGAGAAACAGGAACTGGATTGTCATAGGGGTTTCTTTAACTCTCTACCCCGGGGAGAATCTTTTGTTGTCTGTATTGTTACAAGAAAAGGAGTACTTGTGGCACCTTAGAGACTAACCAATTTATTTGAGCATGAGCTTTCGTGAGCTACAGCTCACTTCATCAGATACATACCGTGGAAACTGCAGCAGACTTTATATACACACAGAGAATATGAAACAATACCTCCTCCCACCCCACTGTCCTGCTGGTAATAGCTTATCTAAAGTGATCAACAGGTGGGCCATTTCCAGCACAAATCCAGGTTTTCTCACCCTCCACCCCCCCACACAAATTCACTCTCCTGCTGGTGCTAGCCCATCCAAAGTGACAACTCTTTACATAATCAAGTCGGGCTATTTCCTGCATAGATCCAGGTTTTCTCACATCCCCTCCACCCCCATACACACACAAACTCACTCTCCTGCTGGTAATAGCTCATCTAAACTGACCACTCTCCAAGTTTAAATCCAAGTTAAACCAGAACATCTGGGGGGGGGTAGGAAAAAACAAGAGGAAACAGGCTACCTTGCATAATGACTTAGCCACTCCCAGTCTCTATTTAAGCCTAAATTAATAGTATCCAATTTGCAAATGAATTCCAATTCAGCAGTTTCTCGCTGGAGTCTGGATTTGAAGTTTTTTTGTTTTAAGATAGCGACCTTCATGTCTGTGATTGCGTGACCAGAGAGATTGAAGTGTTCTCCGACTGGTTTATGAATGTTATAATTCTTGACATCTGATTTGTGTCCATTTATTCTTTTACGTAGAGACTGTCCAGTTTGACCAATGTACATGGCAGAGGGGCATTGCTGGCACATGATGGCATATATCACATTGGTGGATGTGCAGGTGAACGAGCCTCTGATAGTGTGGCTGATGTTATTAGGCCCTGTGATGGTGTCCCCTGAATAGATATGTGGGCACAATTGGCAACGGGCTTTGTTGCAAGGATAAGTTCCTGGGTTAGTGGTTCTGTTGTGTGGTATGTGGTTGTTGGTGAGTATTTGCTTCAGGTTGCGGGGCTGTCTGTAGGCAAGGACTGGCCTGTCTCCCAAGACTTGTGAGAGTGTTGGGTCATCCTTTAGGATAGGTTGTAGATCCTTAATAATGCGTTGGAGGGGTTTTAGTTGGGGGCTGAAGGTGACCGCTAGTGGCGTTCTGTTATTTTCTTTGTTAGGCCTGTCCTGTAGTAGGTAACTTCTGGGAACTCTTCTGGCTCTATCAATCTGTTTCTTTACTTCTGCAGGTGGGTATTGTAGTTGTAAGAAAGCTTGACAGAGATCTTGTAGGTGTTTGTCTCTGTCTGAGGGGTTGGAGCAAATGCGGTTGTATCGCAGAGCTTGGCTGTAGACGATGGATCGTGTGGTGTGGTCAGGGTGAAAGCTGGAGGCATGTAGGTAGGAATAGCGGTCAGTAGGTTTCCGGTATAGGGTGGTGTTTATGTGGCCATTGTTTATTAGCACTGTAGTGTCCAGGAAGTGGATCTCTTGTGTGGACTGGACCAGGCTGAGGTTGGTGGTGGGATGGAAATTGTTGAAATCATGGTGGAATTCCTCAAGGGCTTCTTTTCCATGGGTCCAGATGATGAAGATGTCATCAATATAGCGCAAGTAGAGTAGGGGCTTTAGGGGACGAGAGCTGAGGAAGCGTTGTTCTAAATCAGCCATAAAAATGTTGGCATACTGTGGGGCCATGCGGGTACCCATAGCAGTGCCGCTGATCTGAAGGTATACATTGTCCCCAAATGTGAAATAGTTATGGGTAAGGACAAAGTCACAAAGTTCAGCCACCAGGTTAGCCGTGACATTATCAGGGATAGTGTTCTTGACGGCTTGTAATCCATCTTTGTGTGGAATGTTGGTGTAGAGGGCTTCTACATCCATAGTAGCCAGGATGGTGTTATCAGGAAGATCACCGATGGATCCTCAATGATCTTCCTGATAACACCATCCTGGCTACTATGGATGTAGAAGCCCTCTACACCAACATTCCACACAAAGATGGATTACAAGCCGTCAAGAACACTATCCCTGATAATGTCACGGCTAACCTGGTGGCTGAACTTTGTGACTTTGTCCTTACCCATAACTATTTCACATTTGGGGACAATGTATACCTTCAGATCAGCGGCACTGCTATGGGTACCCGCATGGCCCCACAGTATGCCAACATTTTTATGGCTGATTTAGAACAACGCTTCCTCAGCTCTCGTCCCCTAAAGCCCCTACTCTACTTGCGCTATATTGATGACATCTTCATCATCTGGACCCATGGAAAAGAAGCCCTTGAGGAATTCCACCATGATTTCAACAATTTCCATCCCACCACCAACCTCAGCCTGGTCCAGTCCACACAAGAGATCCACTTCCTGGACACTACAGTGCTAATAAACAATGGCCACATAAACACCACCCTATACCGGAAACCTACTGACCGCTATTCCTACCTACATGCCTCCAGCTTTCACCCTGACCACACCACACGATCCATCGTCTACAGCCA